GTTCGGCAAACTGCAGCATTCTCTCACCATTGTCCGTTCGAGAGCCAAGCCCGAAATGACCAAGAAGGTGGCTGTTTGTCGGGTCACCGGGCCCAGTCCGGCCATCTAGGCCACACTACCGTCATTTGCCTGAGTTTCTGAGAAGAACTGGTTTTAGAACCTAGTTCAACATTTCTGGTCAGACAACTGTAAGGCCGTTGAACCATCGCCATCATTGTAGCGCCGCTGGGTGAATCCTTGAACTTTTTTCATCTGTCTCGCAACCTGCGCATTTCAGTAATGACTTTTCTACTGGCTGCTACACCGGTTTTCTGCGTCGTCGTAGTTCAATGCGGCCAATGTATCTTGTACGAGCTACAGTATAGTGTGACACTGCTTTGAACCCACAGATCAGTTTGCTATCATGAACTCAGCTAGCTGGGGGCACAAAAATCAGTGTGAATACTAGGCCGGCAGATGTTTGGGGCCGTATTTGAAACAAGTGTAGCTGCTAACCAACCGATTCTGACCAACAAAGCTCAAAATCGAAGGCTAAACCCGAAGAGGCATCTCGCTACTCATCGGCTTTTGGCCTCTTCGTCAGACCGGAAAGCTTGCTTGATGATCACACTGCTGTTCGCTATCCGTGGACACGCATGATGGCCAACAACTGGACTGGTAAGTTAATCCATCTTAGATGCTCGGGCTGACAGTCGCACAGTCGGTCTTCAAGTTCGTAAGCGTCATCGACTGTATGATTTGCAGAGAAGAATAGTTCTTTTGTTCCGAATGAATGAGATTTAAAATCCTTACTAGAGGTCATCGTCAGAGGTGAAAGCGTCAACGAAGAACAAGCAACAGTTCCAGGGGCGAGGGCAAATCAAACACCAATGACGCTAGTCAAAATATCACTGCCCAGGGTTCTGTATGGCGGCGCCAGATCGATGCATCGATTGACTAGGCCCTCATCCAAGGTGCACTTCAACCAATACCCGGCCTGTGTTTTTTCTGGCGTATTTACTAATCTTCGCGGTTACGAAGTTAAATTCGTGAAGGGTTTCGTAGATGTGAACAGCCTGCACAATGAACTTTACTCTCTGACTTCCCAACAAACATGACGTGGTTTTCCAGAGGTAATTAATGTTTCTTTTACCGTTTCGTCGATAAATTACGTCGCATGCACTTTCCGTGTCATATCGCGGCTACTGAACATTCACTTTTTAGAACTGACAACTAGTTCTCCAGAAGGCATCGTCGCCGGACCTGTCGACGAGTCCAATTTCTTTGAATGGGAAGCTCTCATAGCGTAAGTCTCCTGTCCTGTTTCCTATTTCCCATTTTCTTTCCTCTTTCCGCGCGGTTTCACCCTTTTAAATTTTCCGGTTTTGCAATTGAAATCATCTGGGGATGACCCTTTGCTATGGCTTTGACATTAAGCGTTTATTTGTTATCTCAATGGACGCGCACACCTGTGTGTCATCGTGCCATTTCCATGTATACTGACCCTCCTCTCAGGTTGTTTCCTCCTGACACTTACATATGGCTGGAAACCACAGTATCAATACGGTTATACTGCGAAATTCGCGGGGATTAAGTTCCCGCGAATTTTAGGCGGGCAACTAACAACCTATCTTCATATATATAACGCGAAATATGTCCTCACCACGGTTCGAGTTAGTTTAAAAGTGGATGCTATAAGTTATATTATCTTCAAAACTGTACAGGTCAGCGTTAATATACTCCCAGCATGCAGTAAGATACCGTATATACTGTATCTGCATTACATTTACTGTCCACTACCTCGTGCCCGCCGGCGTCTTCTTTGAGATGCCGAACGCTCGTGAGCTAACACGCTACATGATACACATGACACAATGCGCAGGGTCGTAAAACACGGAAAGCTGACCGAACCGAGACAGGGATTCACGCGTTATATTGCAGAAGAGTGATTAGTAAAAGTAAGGAAAGAGTGTAGACGCATTTTGATTGACTACATCTCCAGTGTTAACATTCAACTGGGAAAACTCCAGATTCGATCGATTAAGCCCGTCTAGTCTTTTTATCTGCCTTGTCCACTTCTAAGGTGGTATTTTACCATCTTTCTCATGCATCCTAATCGTATTCTGTTCCAGTGGTCCAGATGGTACGCCTTTTGAGGGCGGTGTATTCGCCTCTCGGCTCACATTCCCCGCGGACTATCCCCTTTCTCCACCAGAGATGCGCTTCACCAGCGAGATATTTCATCCAAACAGTATGTTCCTTGATCCAACTTATATAGTTACTGCATCCCAGTCTGCCAACTGAGGCTTTGTATCGTCTTATCCTTCGTGCATTCTCTTGCATAGGTTTTAACTGCATCCTATTCGTTCGAAAATCAGGGAAGTGGTTTCCCCTTTCCACCACCTGTCTTAGGAACTTCGGAACTTGCCTTACCAAACATTTTTTTTAACTGTCCACTTTATCCCTAGGCAAACATGGTAAAATCGTCGGAATTATCACCGATATTTTCGTAGGAATAGTATAAGTAACCGTCTTTGAAGCCAGCGCGTTTTTAAACTCACTAATATTCTACTGAACTCCATTTCTGTAGCACTGATATAAAGATAAACCAAATAGTGGGGCTTATTGTGTCTCCGTCGTATTTTCTACGAGCTGTGATACCGGTCAGACCCGGTGCAGTCGTCGGTATTGTCACCAATGTTGTTATTATAGAAATAGCATAGGCAGTCATTGCGTCTACGGCACTATTCCTTCGTACAATGTTTTTACTTTGAAATTTCTTGTCACAGATAGGTCTTCGGTGAGACTTGAAGATTCTGGAATGACACTTTTTAAAGTGAGGCTTCATTCGCTCTCTCTTTCAAATACACACACGACAGACTAGTCATCGCGTCCAACGAGGTCTGCCGTGTGCGTCTCACATCAAGGTGCGCCAGAGCCTGGTGGCATGACCAAGTCAAAAAGATCTTGGACGAGAGAGGACGCAGGTGGCTGACGAGGTGGGAGCCTGCATCTTGAAGCCCTACGACACTCCTACGTTGTGGATGTGCATCTCCAATAACGGTTGTCTAGCCCTGATCTAGCCCAATGTTGTTCCAGTGCGCATTTTGCGAGGGATGACGACCATTTTCAAGACAGGAAAATATTCCTGTACTGTCGTCTCAAATCGAATGTATCGTGGGCGGTTCCTGTTCCTGTGCCCTGTTTATGTGGCTATGCAAGTCACCCTAACGAAACGGAATGCACAGGCGTCTGGTGTCATTGTTGTAAACGTAGCCAAAGCTGCGATTTCGCCGCCTACGTCACGCCTTGTGTGAGCCCAAAGGAAGAACACAACAAGAAGAGCGCAAAAGTAGAAGTCTTTGTACAGACCTAGTACATTATACTTAAGCAAGCGAATGCATACAAATTGGACCGATGATATTGTAGTCTCAAGTAAGATGCAACTTCATTGGCCTTGTGACTCATGCAGCAGGCGCGTTAGAGTCCTGCGCCGGCCGCGTCGTCACATGCACTCTGTGTGGGCGGAATGGTCGTTTGTCGTAGGAACGACTCGTCAGGGTGGCGTGCACTCGCAGTTAAGCTGGGCCTTAACAGTCATGACCAAGTCAAAGCGATCATACGTGTGAAAAGACGCGGGCGCTGCGTAAGCCTGCAAACTGGCATGCCATCCCTCC